GTCCCTCTGACAGTGGCTCATCAACTTGTAACAACTTGGTGAAGAATTGTCCTGAGATTCCTTAGTTCTTGCCAGTATCCTACAGGAAGGCTTTGCAACAACCAGGGAAGCCATTCTGACCTGTCACTTTGGGGAGGCAGCGCTGGCACAGTGGGAAGGGTGATGGATTTAAAGTCAAAAGAGCTGGGTTGAAATCCTCAATCTGGTACTTACTACCCGTGTGACCTTGAGCTACCAAGAGTTTTGTCCATGAGAGAACTAACACAACAATAGAAATAAAAAAGGATGAGTTAAAGGTAAAATACAACTTGATCATTGAATCAATAAGGAGTCAGTGGAGTTTATTGAGCAGGGGAGTGATATTGTCAGTCCTGCACTGTAGGAATCCCTCTGGCAGATACATGGAGCATGAGTTAGAGGAAGTTGAGACTTGGGCAGAGAAGTTGGGAGGATAAGGTCACATGGGTAAAAAATGGAAAAGTCAGAACTTGAACCTGTATCTTTGACTTTCCATTCTGATGGTCTTTCCATTCTATCAGCAGCCAGATGTGGGCTAGATGAGAGCCGGATTAGAGGGAGGGGAGAGCGACCTTTGTGTGCTGGACTCAGGAATACAGCCGGGGGCACCAGGCTGTGTGTGTGTGTGTGTGTGTGTGTGTTTTGTTGTTGTTCAGTCATTTTTGAGTCATGTCGGACTCTTCATGACCCCATTTGGCATTTTCTTGGGAAAGATACTGGTGTGGTTTGCCATTTCCTTCTCCAGTTCATTTTACAGATGAGGAAACTGAGGGAAACAGGGCTAAGTGACTTGCCCAGGTCACACAACTAGTAAGTTTCTGAGGCCAGATTTGAACCCACAAAGAGAAGTCTTCCTGACTCCAGGCTTACCATTTTATCCACTACACCACCTAGCTACCTATAGCTAGATAGACAGACAGACAGATATCTATCTATCTATCTATCTATCTATCTATCTATCTATCTATCTATATATATATACACACACACACACACACACATATAGTTCTTTATATATATACATGCATACATATATTTACATATATATACACACATATACATGTATGTATACCTATATATACACATACATATATTCATACACACATATATACACACATGTAACAAAGTAGACACAAAATCATCTCAGAGAGAAGTATACTAGCAGTGGATTGGACTAGAAACCTCATCCATAGGATGGCAATTGAACTGAGACTAGAAGAAGATCAGAGGTTCTAAGAGGTAGATTCAAAGAAAGACAACACTTCAGGCCTGGGTAACAACCAGTAAGTACAGAGGCCTGGAGGTGGCAGATGGAATGTCCAGTGTGAGGAACATCGAGTAGACCTGTAAGAAGAGTTCAAAGTAACCAGGTTGTATGGTTTGGTGGAAAAGAACAGTGTACTGAAGCTGCGAGGTGGTGCCTCAGTGCACAGAACACTGGACTAGGCATCTCAAAGACTCAAGTTCAAACCTGCTCTCAGACATTTACTAGCTCTGTGATCCAGAGCAAGTCACTTAACCTCTTCTGCCTCAGCTTCCTCAACTGTAAAATAGAGTTAATAATAGCCTATATTTCCCAGGATTGTTGTGGGCATCAAATGAGTTTAGCACAATGCTTGACACACAGTAGCTAATTAATACGTTTTTTTTTTCCTTACTAAGAGTTGGAAGATGACTTTTAAAAATGACTCTGCCACTAATGTGTTGTACAGTCTTGAGCATGTCATATTTTCTCCCTCTGGACCTCATTTTATTTATCTGTAAAGTAACTGGGATGTGAATAGATAATCATTTACAACACAAGGGGTATGAGTTGAGGGCTTGGTAAGGGTATAAACTCCATGTATTCTCAGGATGAGTGGGAATTTGCTTAACAAAATAAATCGTGATGATGTTGCACAATTAAAATTTTTTTATTTATGTTTTTATTTTTTATAGCATTTTCTTTTTCCCCATTACATGTCAAGAAAATTTTTAACATTGATTTTTACAAGACTTTAAATTCCAAATTTTTCTTCCTTCCTTCACTCCTCGCTTCCAAAAATGGTAGGCAGTTTGATATAGTTTATACATGTGCTATCATGTAAAAAAAAATTTCCATATTAGTCCCAATTGTGAAAGAAAAAACAGATTAAATAACACAAGAGAGAATAAAGTAAGTGAAAAAATATATGCTTCGATCTGCATTCAAAGCCCATCAATTCTTTATCTGGATATGGATAGCATTTTCCTTCATGAGTCCTTTGTACTTGTCTTGGATTATTGTGTTGCTGAGAAGAGCAGAGGTATTCACACAATGTTGCTGATACTGTCTACAACGTTTTCCTAGCTCTGCTCATTTCACTTTGCAACAGTTTGAACAAGTCATTTTAGCATTTTCTGAAATCTGCCTGTTCATCATTTCTTATTGCATAATAATATTCCATTACATTCACATATCACAGCTCATTCAGCCAATCCCCAATTGACGGGCATCCACTCAATTTCCAATATTTTGCCACCATGAAAATGGCTGCTATAAATATTTTTCCACATATAAATCCCTTTCTCTTTTTAATGATCTCTTTGGGATACAGGCCTAGTAGTGGTATTTGCTGGTTGCAATAGTATTTAGAGTTTGGTTGCCCTTTGGGCAGAATTTCAAATTGCTCTCCAAAATGGTTGGATCAGTTCACAACTCTAGGAAAATGCATCAGGGTCCCATTTTTCCCACATCCTCTCTAACATTTGTCACTCTCCTTTTTTGTCATATTAGCCAATCTGATAGTTGCAAAATGGTATCTCAGAGTTGTTTTAATTTGCATTTCTCTAATCAAAAGTGATTTATTGCACTTCTTCATATGCCTATAGATAGCTTTGATTTCTTCATCTAAAAACTACCTGTTCATATCCCTTGATCATTTGTCAGTTGGGGAATGGTTTGTATTCTTAGAAATTTGAGTCAGTTCTCTATATATTTGAGAAATGAGGCTTTTATCAGAGATGCTTGCTGTAAAGATTATTTCCCAGCTTTCTGCTTTCCTTCTCATTTTAGTTACATTAATTTTGTTCATACAAAAGTCTTTTAATTTAATATAATCAAAATTATCTATCTTATATTTTGAAAGGCTCTCTATCTCTTGTGTGGTCATAAATTCTTCCACTCCCCATACATTTGACTGGTGAACTATTCCTTATTCTTCTAATTTGCTTATGGTATTACCCTTTATTTCTCAAACATACACCCATTTTTGATCTTATCTTTTTATACAGCATGAGATGTTGGTCTATACCTAATTGATATCTTATTGTTTTCCAGTTTTCCCAGCAGTTTTTGTCAAATAATGAGTTCTTATCCCCAAAGCTGAGGTCTTTGGGTTTGTCAAACACTAGGTTACTATGATCATTGACTACTGTGTCTTGTGTACCTAACATGTTCCACTGATCCACCTTTCTATTTCTTAGCCAGTATCAAATATATTTGATGATTACTCTTTCATTATATAGTTTGAGATCTGGCATTGCTAGGCCATTTTCCTTTACATTTTTTTCCATTAATTCCCTTGATATTCTTGATGTTTTATTCTTCCAGATGAATTATATGTTGTTATTTTTTCTAACTCTATAAAATAGTTTTTTGTTGGTTTGATTAGTATGGCACAGAATAGATAAATTAGATTAGGCACGTTATATTGGCTCAGTCTCACCAAGAGCAATTGATATTTTTCCAATTGTTTAGATCTGATTTTATTTGTGGGAAAACTGTTTTGTAATTATGTTCATTTAGTTCATAGGTCTGTCTTGGCAGGTAAACCTCTAAGTTTTTAAATTGTTTATATTTATTTTAAATGAAATTTCTCTTTCTATCTCTTGCTTCTGGGCTTAATTTGTCATATAAAAATGTTGATGATTCATGTGGGTTTATCTTATATCCTGCAACTGTGCCAAATCTGTTAATCATTTCAAGGATTTTTTTAGTTGATGCTCTAGGGTTCTCTAAGTATATCATCGTATCATCTGTAAAGAGTAATAGTTTTGTTTCCTCATTGCCTATTCTAATTCCTTCAATTTCTTTTTCTCCTCTTATTGCTATAGCTAACATTTCTAGTACTATACTGAATAAGAGTGGGTAACAATGAGCCTCCTTGCTTCACCCCTGATCATAATGGAAAGACTTCTAGCTTATCCTCACTATAGATAATGCTTGCTGGTGGTTTTAGATAGATATTGTTTATCATTTTAAGGAAAGCAATCTCTATTCCTATACTTTCTATTGTTTTTAATAGGAATAAGTTCTATATTTTGTCAAAAGCTTTTTCAGCATCAGTTAAGGTAATTATATGATTTTTGTTGGTTTTGTTATTGATGTGGTCAATTATATTGATAGTATTCCTAATATGCATAATTAAATTTAAATAGGACTTTCCCTCACTTAAACTCTATGAGTTAGAGAGTGAAGACATCATTATCCTTATTTTACAGAAAGAAATGCGCTTTAGAGGAGTATACTTGTTTGCCAAAGTTCGTATCAGTAGTGATTGGAAAGCCAAGACTTGAACCTCTTTGGCTTCCAGTATTAATGGTCTTTTCATTTCACCAGCAGCAGGTGTTTTGCGGGTGGATGAGGTCCAAGTGGAGAGAGGGCAGCACTACGTTGGATTCTGGACTTGAGTTGGAGCCAAGAGTAGAGACATATGGGCCATGCCCGACTCTGACTTGAGCCTTGGAAAGAGTGTACTTTACCTAATCACCCATCCTATGCTTACCAAATGTCTGCTGGGTGCCCATAATGCTGCCAGCTGGTCCTGAAGCTCATGCCAAGATTAAATACCCTGCACCTTTACCCACCCTAGCCCCCACCCTTGGTTGGGAGCTCCTCAGCCAGGAGGGATATTCTCTAGTTTCCCCATATCCTCCATCCACCTTAAATCTGGAAAGAAGAAAATGAAGAAGAACAGGAAACAACCAATAATAACATACAACCAGTCAGAAATAGTATGGAAAGCAAGTTTAATGGATGAGAGGAGGATTCAATCATTTCTTGATTACAACATTGCTAGACTGATTTTGGCCCTGACAGTTGAGTAGCCAGAGGATCAGCTCAGGAATGTGTAGCTTCAGCCTGGTCCTTGTGCTTCAGAATCACAGGATAGGGACACATTTGTGTAGAAAACATTTTCAGGACCCAAAGGAAGGGTAAAGCTCTTGGTAATTGATTGGAACATGAGAATTACAGGCTGCAGATCACCAGAAGAGAACTTTCCCGGGCAACACAGAGAGCTTGAGCAATTAGAACTGAAAAGTTAATTTGATGGAGGTTCTGCCCACAGAGGTTGGTACCCAGGAGGGAAGTCCTGAGTCTTCTTACATCTGCATGGTCTTGGGTACCTGTGGGCACTTCTGTTGAGCAGGTGGAGTAACAGTGGGTATGCAAGACTGTGGCACCTGAGGATGGCAAGGCTCTGGAGCCTGGGGATAGCAAAGCTGTGGCACCTGAGGATGGCAAGGCTGTGGCACTTGGGGATGGCAAGGCACTGGGATCTTGGGGTGGCAAGGCTCCTTGGTTTGGGAAGCACATTGCTGCTGGGGAGGTAGAGTACAGGGCTGCTTCTGCTGCTGGGAAAACATGGCTTGGTGTTGTGGATAAACCTGGAGAGGAAATGAGAGCAATTCTTTTATCATATAGGGAGAGAACAAGCCCCTGCCACGAAAGCATGGTTTTCAGGGAATTTGGGGGTCTCTCTTCCCCATTTCCCTTTTAGGATATACTTTGAATATGGCTAACTTAGAAGGATAGTCATCAGTTTCCTCTGATTCCTCATCTTTTCATCCTTGCAGTCCTGCTTCAAGACCCACCTATGGACAGAGTCTGTTCTTGAGCCTCCCAGCTCCAGTTTGCATTTTTATCACTGTCTCTCTTGCATCCCTGTCTGCCTTCTTTATTCCAAAGCTTCATTTCACTTCCCCTACGTTCTTCTTTTTCCTTGTCCTCTCTAGGATCATCAAGTCTAGCCTTGGAAAGAGCAATAGAGATCATCTCTTCCAATCTCCTCATTTTACAGATAAGGAAATGACTAAGACTTGGGCAGTTTAAGTCACATAAGTAAGATCTGGCAGTGCTGGGATTTGGACCAAAGGTCTACTGAAAGGCCAAATCCTGTGCTTTTCCCCTGGCCCATGCCACCTCCTTCTCTTTCTATCTCTTTTCTTGTACTGTCCAAAGCTATAGCAGAGATGAATGTAATATAGTCTATTTCAGGGATAAATTTCAAACACTTTAAAGTCATGTGGAAAGAAACTGTGTCAGAAAGAGTCTGATCTGCCAATTAAAAATATTAAAACTGCTGCATTTGTATAGCAAAACCATATTGAAGATCCTAGATTGACAGTTCTACATAAATCAGGTATTCTTAACCTTTTTTTTGTCATAGAATACTTAGGCCTGTGAATCCTGTTGATTTCTCATGTTTTTAAATGTATAAAATAAAATATATAGGAGTTCAACTAATTACATGGAAATATACTTATCAAAATATTAAAAAGACAAGTTCACAGTTCCCATGTTAAGAAAACTGGAAACCACCTCATGTGAATAATATGTACCTCATAAACACATACCCACACCCATAACCACACACACACACACACACACACACACACACACACACACACACCCCTAAGAGTTCTAGTGTTAAAGGTAAAGAGTGTTAAAATCCTAGCTCTTCCACTCACTAGCCATGTGACCTTGGACAAGTCCCTTTACCTCTCTAAAAATAATGATAATAGCTAGTATTTCTATAGTAAAATACTTTACAAATTTCTCATCAGATCCTCACAACAATTCTAAGAAGTAGGTGCTATTATTACCCCATTTTACAGAAGAGGCCACTGAGGCAGCTGGAGATCACATGATTTACTAGAGACACACAGCTAATAAATGTCTGAGGCTGGATTTAAACTCATGTCTCCCTCACTCCAGGTCCAGCACTGTGTCCACTGTACTAGCTGTCTCTACATTCTTTTCTGTAAAACAAAGCATTTTGAGTATAGGCAGTCAGAATCACATAATCTCAAAGTGAGAAAAGAATTCATAAGCCATCTAGCCCAACCTATAGCTGAACAAACAACTCCTCATTCTATCACAAACCTCATCCAGACTTTGTTTGAAGACTTCCACTGTCTCTTATGGCATTCCATTAGAATTTGGGATAACTCTAACCGTCAGGAAGTCCTTTCATTAAGTCAAGCCTAAATCTGCCTTTCTGTAGCTACCGCTCTTTGTTCCTTGTACTGGGGGCTCTGGTCCAAGTAGCACTAATTTAATCTTTCTTCCATGTGGCATTACTTCAAATACCCCTGAGAGAGTATGACCCCCATCTATATTCTTCTTCAGAATATACATACCTATATATTTGCATATGAATAGATATACACACATACATACACTCTTATGTATGTATATATAATATTATATGAATAAGGAATTCTTAAGATCTATTCCCCTTTCAGCTATGTTTCAATGACATACTGTCAAAAGATACTTTAATATTAATGCTGGAGGCACCATTGTGGTTTTTACATCCATTCCAGCAGAATGAAATGGACAAGAAAGCTTAAATCTCTCTAGTCAGAAATGAGGAACCCTGAATCTAGTCTTATTCTGCTACTACATTAACTAACTGTGTGACTTTAGTCAAGTCCTTTTTCTCTGGAGGTCAGGTTCTTCATCTCCAAAGCAAAGTTCCAAGACTGAGATCCCGATGCTCAGGTTATTAGTTAGAAATTCAGAGAACAGAGACTCACCTGGCGCTCAGAGAATGGAAGCTTGTCAAAGAACTCAGGTTTGTTGCTCAGTTGTGGGAATGTTGGGAATCTTTTATATGATGTCTTCTGCCTGCCTCAAGGAAATGAGATGGCTTTGGGCTTTACTATGTTCATCCTTTCCCTGCCCAGCTGTGAATCACACCCATTTTCCTCCTTTACCTATCCATTCAGTCTTTTTGAAGAAAACCTCCCATTTGACAGCTCTTTGGCACCAGGAGGCTGACAATGATGTCACCCCATTCTTCCCCTTTCCCCTTCCTTAGCTACCAAGGAATAGTGGGAGCAGAGACAAGACAATTCTCATCTTATTCCAGATTTATAGCAATAGTGCTTGATGTTGATAAATCCCTTCACTTGGGTTCCCTCATCTGATCCTTACCACAATCCTATGAAATAAGTTATATTAGAACCCTCATTTGATAGATGAAGTTGAGAGAGTTTAAGGGACTTTCAGTCCCATACCTATTAAGTGTTTGAGGTAAGATTTGAACTCAGGTCTTCCTGACTCCAAGGTGGGTGCTCTCTCCACTGTGTAATACAGGGAGCAGGAAGAACAAGGCCCTCTAGAAGTTCAATCGCTTTCTGTATTGTACACCATTCTCCAATGGGCCAGTGTTCCTGACCCAAGTTTTGGGGGTCAAATCCCTTCCTGAATGTTCTCTGTGTACAAACAGTTCATTTCCCATAATTACTTAGAGTACGGGCAGGTGAGTAGGGGATGGAAATAAAGCAAAAAGGAAGGTGGCTAATGGAGCTGGGTGAGGGAGACATTGGATGAGGATATTAGTGACTTCTTAGTAGGGGCTTCCAGCCCCACCTTTCTTCCTCTTTACCCTTTGTATACTACATATTCATTCCTTATGACTCACTTCCCCAGTAATTCATTCAAGGCAGCAAACCTGCTTCACCTCTCAGACCATGCCTCACCCTCTCTGTTCTCTGAAATTTGACTTCACTGGATTCTAATGTCATTGGTTTGGGCCTTCCTCCAAAGGTACACATGACGATTTCCACACCTTATCCTGTACAGATTTTTCTGCAAGTCTTCCTTAAAGGATTTTCCAACAAGAAGTCATGGTGCTGAAAAACTGCATTACCAGTGGATATATGATTTATTTCAATAAGATTCAATTCAAATCAATGAGAATTTCTTATGGATATTTGTGTGCCATGCACTGTCCCAGTGCTGGGATACAAGGACAAGAGAGAAACTAAATCTACCCTCAAAGAGCTTATATTTTAAGCCCCGCTATGGAAGTCTTATTAGATCAGAATCTCAGGCATCTTCGAGAGTCCCTTCTTTTCTTATCACCTCTCCTCATCTGCACTCCATTATCTCCAAATTCAAGCACAAATGGAGATAACTCAACCATGCATAAATATTCCTCAAAACTGCATAGTGAGTTTGAAAATCATACCTGTTTGTATATTTCTTATTTTTATTCATTAATTTATTTTGTTAAATACTTCCCAATTACATTTTAATCTGGTTTGGGCAGGACTTGGGAATATCGTGGGCTTCATGCATCTCGTGCACCATGTCTTTGACACGTCTGATCATCTTCAACTTCATTAAATCCTATAAACATTGAATAAGCTCCTACCATGTTCAAAGCACTGTTACTTGGTGCTGTGGATTCAAAGACCAAAACATTGCAATCACCTATGCCCTCAAGGAGCCTTCTTGGGAGTAAGAACATATACACACTGTTGAAGGAAAAATGTTTCCTCTTTGAGTTCATGTGGTAGGTAACTACTGTCAAATATATATTTACCACAAGGAAAAATTCTATATTTAAAAATTTAGATTTTATTCTTATGCTCAAGTGTAGGTTCAGGCCTCAGAGAAACCTGGATGCTGATTAGGACTCTAATAAGACTTGTTATAGGCAAAATTACAACAAAGTTACAGAGAAATTATTCTTTTACATATTACGATCTTATACATTCCTTTTAGTCCATAAAAATTAAAGAAAAAATAAATACAAGGGGCAGCTATGTGGTGCAGCGGATAGAGCACTGGCCGTGAAGTCAGGAGGACTTGAGTTCAAATCCAGCCTCAGACCAAACACTTGACACTTACCAGCTGTGTGACCCTGGGCAAGTCACCTAACCCCAATTGCCTAAAAAAGAAAAAGAAATGTAAAAAAAAGAAAAAAGAAAAAAGAAAAAAAAAGAAAAAAGAAATCCAAAATCTCATACTTCCTTCAATGTCATAAATATTGAACAAATAAATAGAAGCATCATCTCATGCATTCCCCTAAGGAAACAAATTTTTTCAAATCAACTCTCCAGGTAAACTAAGTCAGGCTACAGATTAAGCAACATTGAGATAGTTCACAAACAGACTGATTGAGAAGGAAGATTTGCATGTCTCTAAAGAGTCAAGGACAGTTGAGATTCTTCTTAGGAAGAATCTTAGGAACATTAAGGGGCCAGTGAAGGTTTTAGAGTTAAGGAGCAAAATAGTCATACTTATGTTGTAGGAATATCACTTTGGTAGCTGTACTGCCAACAGATTAGAGAGTGGAAATGTTGAAAAAACAAGAAGGGAAACTAATTAAAAAGCAGTTGCAATAATCAAGATAAGACAGGGTTTGTCCATGAGAGTAGTCATATGAATGGAGAAGTGGGAATCAGATACAAGCAATCTTGTGAAGGCAGCATTAATGGGATTTTCCAACTGATCGTATATAGGGTAGGGGTGGGGAGGGGAGGGAGAAAGGAAGAAAGAGGTAGGGAGAGAGGGGGAGAGGAATGGAAAAGGAGAGTGGAAAGGAGGGAAAGAGAGAGAGAGTGAGAATAATTGAGAATGACTGAGGTTGTGTACCTAGGTTAAAGAGAAGATGGCACATCCTCAAAAGAAATAGGGCAATCTGGAGGAAAAGTGGATGGTGGGGAGAAGGAGGGACAGACAAAATGAGCTCTATTTGGACATGTTAAGTTTGAGATCATGCTGGGACATCTCTTTGAACAATCCAGAATGAAACTGGAAATGAGGAACTGGAATTCATGACAGTGATTGGGCCTGACTGGATGTATAAAGTTGGGAGTCTTCTACTTAGAGATGATAATTAACTTCATAGAAACTGATGAAATGACCAAATGACAAGTTAAACAAAGAAGAGAGGGCAGAGGACAGAACTTTGGTACACACACACACTTATTGGGTGGAAGATGGCAAAGAGTCTGAAGAGGAGTGGTCACATAGGTAGAAGGAGAATGGAGAAAGAGCAATTTCATGTCAACCAAAGGAAGAGACAGTGTATCTATGAAGATAGGATGGTCAGTGACATAAAGGAAAAACAAACAAAAAGACCCTACTAAAATGCCAAGTGAACCCTGAACAAAGGCCTTTTAATTCATTAGCTCAGGTACATGCTTTGGAGAGAAGAATTTCAATAGAATTGGGGCCAGTTCAGAACCAAATTGTAAATGTTTGAGGAGTGAGTGAGAACTGAAGCAATGGATTAAATGACCATAGAAGTTTCCTACCATTGACTCTGAAAGGGAGAAGAGACATGGAGCAGTAGCTGTAGGCTGGGTGACCCAGTGGATAAAGCGTCAGGCCTGGAATCAAGAAGATTTGAATTCAGATCTACTTCTTAGCTCTATAACTCTGGGCAAGTCTCTTAACCCTGTTTGACTCCATTTCCCCATTGTAAAATGAGCTGGAGAAGGAAATGACAAACACTCTTTCTCAAGAAAACCCCAAATAGGATCACCAAAAGTCAGACATGACTAAAACGACTAAACAACAACGACGACTAGAGTAAAGGGCAGGTTTTAAAGAAGGGGTGTGTCCTAGCCATACTTGTAGCTAATATGGAAGAAGCCAAGGGATCAAGAGAAATAGAAGATAAGAATGAAAGGTATTATGTGTAAAATCCTTACAGGAAAAAAAAAACACTTCAATTTTTATTTTAACTTTTTTTCATCATTTTATCTTTTCACAAGATATCGTGTTCCAGTACAATATCTTACACGCCAGGTACTTAATTAATTTGGCAAGGAATAAATAGTGTTGGGATAAAGGGGAAAAAGAACTTAGGATCTCTTGGGATATTGTGGTATTGACCTGGTCCAACCATAGGGTCAAGACTGTCAGAAAACAGTAGAAGGGGAAAGAATTTGGAGAATAGGGAGGGGTAGAGAAACAGTTGGTCATAGGGAGAATGAACAATAGGTTTAGGAAGAGTAAGGCAGAGGGAGAGTTGAGAAGACAAGAAATTCTTCCTTAAGGGAGGGACAAATTTCGGGGAAGATTTTCAGAGTTCTGAGTCATGGAGGTACCACAGTCATCAGAGACGGGGAGAACAAGGCTATGACCATCTATTAGGTGGCTGAAGTGGATTAAAAATAGGTGAGAACAAGGCTATGACCATCTATTAGGTGGCTGAAGTAGATTAAAAATAGGTAATGGAATTTAAAGTGGTGAAGTAAGAGGTCGATATGTTTAAGAAGAAACTCATGTGCACGTCAGAGGCCTCTAGTATGGGGACAGGACTTGGAGCTGGGGAAAAAGATGATGTACTGATCTTTATTGATAAAGGAAGGAAAACCAACTGAAAACTAACAGATAACAGTAAGGATAAGAACTGAATGTCAGAGATGGAAGAAGAAACCTCAAAGATAGAGAGGCTGATGAGTGATGGTGGTAAAGGGTTTATTTTGAAACAGTTGTGAGTAAGAGATTCTCCTAACTGGCCCATTGTGACAGTGGGCATGAAAGAAGGCACACCCAGTGTGGGAGAAAGTGTGCAATGTCTTCCAAGGGAACTGAGTGGACAGAGCACTGAGCCTGGAGTCAGGAAGACCTGAGTTCAAATCCAGTCTTAGACATTTGCTACCTCTCTGACCCTTAGCAAGTCACTTAATTTCTAATGCCTCCATTTTCTCAGCTGTAAAATGGAGACCATAATAACAACTAATTCACAGGTTTCTTGTGAGGATCAAATGAAATAGTATTTGTAAAGCATTTAGCATAGGGCTTGGCACCCAGCAGACACTTAAAAAATGTTTGTTCC